TATGTAGTGTAGTGTGTGTGTGTGTGTATGTGTGTGTGTGTATGTGTGTGTGTGTATGTGTGTGTGTATGTGTGTGTGTGTATGTGTGTGTGTGTGTCTGTCTGTCTGTCTCCCTCTATGTCTATTATCATATTTCTAGAAACAATTAGTTGCCTCAATCGGGAAAAGTTCATGAATATGAAATGACGTTGCACACGTGAAAGATATTGACACGAACGGTTTTCGCTGATGATTTCTTTATTGGTTAGGAAGATTAGGTATATTCGGTCATCGGAATAAACAATTAAATACCAAAAGTAGTATGGTTTGGAGTAACTCGGACTCATTGAACTTTCATTCTGTCTGGGTAAGATTGTCGACTGAATTTTGGAATATCATGTCTTCAGTTCATTAATATGGTATTGGTTTGATTTTAATTCTGAAATTGAGAGACAATATATTCCTTGTCAACCCATTAAGCAAATGACACAGAGCAGAGGGTAACACTGATATCATCATTTACTGATCTCGGAATTCTACAATTTTGTAGAATGTTGTAAGTGAAAATCGAAGCGGGAAAATTTTTTATTAAACAAACAATTAATCGTAAGGAAGTTCAGATAAATTAATGGGATTCAGTGTTAATCAGCATATTAGAAATTAATTCTACTATGGAAGGACCGTCAAGTTCGAGGACTTCGCGACATACGAAACCCAAGGCTGTAGAAAAGCGGTATTCCTCATATCCAAGCAACTTTCAGATTTTGTAGATCTCTCTGCATCCTGTCAAATATTCAAATACTTTCTTTTTTTCCAAAAGATTTAAGTAGTTATTGGCAAATCTCAAAACCAAAGATGCTCGAAACCTTAGATGAGTTTATTCCGAGTATCGGGATGTGTATCGAGATAGAAGGGAGTCCAGCGGGTGGTAAAGAGAATGTTTACGTAGGGACGTATGTTTCTAGACAGTCGTAATGATGAAAACACTAATAAGGTGCTATAGGGAGGTTTCAGAATACTCTGTTCAAGTTTTTCGTTTTTTAATCCAAGGGACATATTAAATGTTTTCCGTTTGCTTGAAATTTAATGTTTTGATAAAGACATCCTTACCGCCCAACGATTACCCCGGGAGCTTAATCCTTCAATTCCAGCATTTCTCGTGCAGCTACCCACTGTAACGGGTGTGTATCCGCTGAACCTTTTCTTGGCTCCTTTTTGAAAAATTGAAAGATGGACGAATGTTCAGTTAAGGGTCTTTTCTATGTGTTGCAGCAAGATAACACAAGGCACGTGATGTGCAAGGATGAGCAACTGTCCTTCTCACTGCTTAACTAGAGCCAATTGTTTGTACTATATTGTGTCATCACTGCTGTACTGTTCCTGTTATACTATGGATCAAAATACGAGAGCTTGATCATTTGCTTGATCCATTCAAATTCTGAATTCTAGGGCCTTATCATTCGAGTTCTAACTCAGAGTTCCTGAAGCATTTTCTCATATTTGTCCGTCATTTGTCTTTTTTTGTTACTTTGCTCTCAAATGTTTTCTCCATTCTTTTCCAGCACTACAGAATTTGAATAACTATCGCCCTGTTTTATAAAAATGTTGAACTCTCGTGGTTTTCGGTTGTTTCCTGGTATTTCTGATGTCAGTTATTTTAACAACAATAACGATATGCGGAATGTTACATCAGTGTTCTCCCTCAGTTTCTGTTTTCTTTCCTGACACTCTTTAAACACCTTATGTTCACTTTCTTCCTTCATTTCTCATTTCTTCTGTTTTTTAATCAACAGCGTGCTTCTGCCCATACTTATAGACGGTTTGTGTACTTTCCTACAGTCACTAACTGCCAAGTTGATCAATAACTTCGTCAAATTCATAACATAATTGCCAATTGTTGTCAATTTCTGACTTGCCAGTTTTCATTTCGATATAATTTGTATGTAACACCCTTGTCATTATTTATTATTATTATTATTATTATTATTATTATTATTATTATTATTATTATTATTATTATTATTATTATTATTATTATTATTATTATTATTATTATTATTATTATTATTATTATTATTATTATTATTATTATTATTATTATTATTATTATTATTATTATTATTATTATTATTATTATTATTATTATTATTATTATTATTATTATTATT